CGAGATTACACTGATTTCTTTTGTAGCGTCTTTATATGAATTTATACTTAAACAGCAGATGCAGTACAGACTTGAGACTGTAGAGGCAGCTGACAGAGTGTCCAATGATGTCTGGGGAAATGTATTATACTTATAGAAGTCTAAATAAAAGTCAGCCTAGAGTTTTATCTCTTCTTTATTGATTTATATAAAGTTAAATGTAGAATTTGAGGTGATTTACCTCTGGTGTCTGATCCTATTTAGAGGAAATAATCAACAGTGAAGAAAAAAAAAAGTTCAAAGAGTATCCAGGAGTTTTCACTCTTTTGTTCTTCTCGTGTTACTCTTTCACATTCCTCGCTGTGTTTGTTTCTCATAGACGTCGGATTCGAAATTCCCGACCACTTTGTTGTGGGATATGCCCTGGACTACAACGAGTACTTCCGTGACCTGAATGTGAGTGAGTGTGAAGTGAACACAGCAGCGGTGTGACCTTTTTAGAAGCTTAAGAGAAAAGGATGAAAGGGAGGAGAGGATGAAGGAGAGTAAACAGAGGGAGAATCAAAGGGAGGCCCTCCGCCCCTGAAATCCACACTCACACAGCAGAGCTGATGCTACGATGCTGTTCCTCTGAATATCTCTGTGGAGTCAGGTGTCATTACTGAATTAACGAGTCAACTTCACCAAATGGTCGAGGTGTCATGGAAAATAAACGTATTCCCTTTATTCTAAGTTTCCCTTTAATCACAGGGAGCTGTTCTTTTTTAGATTTAAGTCAGACTTTGACTTCGTTTCTGACCATTTTTAACTAAAACTGTTTTATTTTTATTTCATTACCACAAAATAAATTAAAACTGTCTCTGACTAACTTTTATTTCATTGCCACAAAATAAATTAAAACTGTCTCTGAACTCAGATGATGACTGCATCAGACCTGTTTTTCCCCCTGGACACCGCATTAGGCGAATATGGTTGTGACGCACAATTTCCAAGATTGACGATAGGGGTCACTGTTGAGCCGATTTCCTGGTTGGCACCGATTAGTACTGGTCAAAGGTTGACCGGTTTAGTCAAGTGTTTTATGAGGAAAATCACTGTACAAGTACAAGTACAGGTCATTTCAGTATTTATGTTTCCACATTGATTTTCATCTCCAGCTTCAGTTCCTCCTTTTCTCATTTTTTTGTCTGACAGTTTATTTTAAGTCACATTTAAAACCAATTTAAGCTTTGTCCTCTTAACATCAGCAGAGACGTGACCTCACTGACAAACCCTACACTTACTCCTACAGCCGTGTGTGTGTGTGTGTATGTTCTGTACTGTGTACAGTGTTACTCGGCATGTTTCAGGGCGGTGGTGTTCAGTTTTGGACAGGAGGTGATGTGTGGAATGCAGAGGTTAGGGTTTCATTATCAGACTGGGTGAAGAAAAAAAAGTGTCCCCCCTCCTTCCTCATCTTATCTGGTCCGGTTCAGGCTCTGGGTCGACTTAAAGTTAAATTAACAAGTGTGTCAAATCTCTGAAGAGCGTTTTAAGAAAACACACAGAGTCTTAACTTGTCTTTTTCATCTCCATCTCTCCACCAGGAGACACTGACCTCGCTGACTCACTCTGACCCTGTCGTATTAAAACAAATTATAACAAAAAACTACAACATGTCTAAAGTACGCTATACATTTCACATTAAATACCATGAGCTCATTCTTTTTCTCTGCCATCTTTTTTTTCTTTCTTTCAGCATATCTGTGTTATCAGCCGCCATCTTTTTTTTTCTTTCAGCATATCTGTGTTATCAGCGAGGCTGGAAAAATGAAGTACAAGGTCTGAGAGGCATCGAGGCCATACATTACACACTGGTAATATTAATTACCTCCAGTAGAGTATAGGTGTGTGGGCGCTTTGTTATCAGTCACAGATGCTCTGTTATTATGTGTATTTAAATGTTAGCGGAATTCACATTTTTGAAGAAATAAAAATGAAAAACACATTCTGTGGATGTCCTGTTTCATCTGTTCTTACGACGGAAGTTGTTGTTTGTTTTCTTTTAATATCCTTGACTCTGTTATAAGATTAAGACTAAGATTGAGATTAAGATTATACTTCCTAATGTGGCCACTGTTATGGGCTGAGTCACTGAAATTCCTATTGCTCTCCTTTGGCATGTTAGTCATTTAAATATATGTTAAAAAAAAATCCCATCAACTGAAAGAAAAACTAGATTTAATGCTGCTGTGGTGAGAGCATCTTTTTAAATCTACGTGCATTTGTATCACAAAGGTTAATGACTACAATGACAAACACACTTGAACCCTGTGGCCTGTTGGTTTCTCCTCCCTCTGTTGTTCTGACCTCTAATTTAGAGGATTCTTTTTGGGCATAAAAATGTTTCATTCAGCTCTTGGTCCTTGCAGAGAGGATGCACTGATTCCTGGTACTGTACTTGTGTAAGAGTCTCCTTTCATCTCACTTCAAGGATCTTTTTCGTCTGAGGTTGTGAAATCTCAAG